TTACATTCAGAAAGCAACTCGTTCAGTGTGTGTTGGCTCAAGCAAAATCATATCAGTGCTCAGTAAAATCTTGTAGAAGCTGTTAAACTTGTACTCAGGGAGCTGTGTGTCAGTAATTCTCCTGGGCTCATACTGTAATCATGAGGGAGTGGAATGGCTCCCAGCTGGCAGATCGCTGCGCTCATGAATATCAGTATCGTGCTCAAATTTATCTCGACAGATCAGAGTCACAAGGCAGCGTCTGCATGTTTATCCATACAAACTTCAGAATGTTCTCAGGCATTTTTCTTCCTTCTTTTGTCAAGGAATAGATTTGGAAAGCTGAGATTTAAGTCACCCAGATTGAAAAACGCAAAGAAAAAACACAACTGTAATTGCAGACAGATGAGAATATAATCTGAGAGAACCATTACATATTGCATGTAATCTCTCCAGCTTCAGTTTAATTGAACATGAATGATAAACTATTTCTATAGTATTGTCTAAGTGTTATTCTGTTGCATAAAGGTCAAGCTTTAAATTTGTTCGTTTCGGCTGTGTATCCATTTTTTGGCCTATTGCAGAACATATCTCGAAATATTAGACTGGCTGTTTTAATGTAAACCAAGATTTTGATTTGGTTAGGATGCATAAAGTCTCATTGCTGTTTATTAAAACACATAAGTGAAACGGGACTAAATAAATACATTTAATTAATTAATTAACTAATAAAAATAAAGTGTGAGACTTGATTTCATTCATTAAGAGCTTATTAGATTGTGAAAAGTGAGTGATCAATACCAGAAATTGTAGTGGAGGATACATCTGGCTCCTATTGGTTGAAACCTAAGCGGCCTCAATGACATCAGCCATAAAGGAAAGTCGTTTTAGAGGAGGAGCAAGTGATTGCAATTCGATGACATTTTTAATTCATTCATGAATAACACACTGAATCTCGCACAATAAGTCCAGGAATGTGTATTAAGAGAGTAAACAGTAAACGGTAGTTTTGATTTCTTGTTGACTTTTACATTGTGCGAATCCGTCCTCTCAGTGCTGTGAGACACTTGATATACCTCTTCCTTAATGCGCTGCACATCTGGAGCTTGAAAATCTGTTTAAGTGAGGAGAGGATAGGAACTGTTTGTGTTCCTAAAGCCAGAAAAATATGTCGGCTGTCTCAGTAGGCCAAGCTTGTAATAAAGTCACCCCTCAGCACCCCGTAATAATAACAGTCTGGCTGGGACCTGTGGATAAGAGGTTGTGAGTGTGAGCGACCGCATCCGGTACGACTGTCCCTAAAACAGCCAACCACAAACAGTTGTGGTGTTTCCTCTGGAATGAACATCACTGTTTACTGCTGAATTACACAAAATGGAGGAGATATGCGAAAAATGTTTCCCCCATGTTTTGGCTTCAGAAAGCAGAAACAAACATGATTCAGCAGAGTACTGTATGTATAATGTTAGCTGGTTTTGTCTCAGACAAACTAACTTCTAAAGTTGGTACCAATTTACAATAAGTTCTCATTTGTTAACATTAGTTATTGCATTAACTAACAACAAGCAATATATTGTTACCAGGGTTATTATAAAAAAAGTTACTAAAAATAATACACACACACAAACACACAAACGGAAGAGGATTAGGGCCAAGCAATAAGAAAAAAAAAGAAATAAAACCATCTCGAGATTAAAGTCGTTAAATTTCAAGAAAAAACTCATTAAAGTTTGAGGGAAAAAGTCGAAATAATATGTTGAGAATAAACTAGTTAAATAACGAGAAAAGTCGTTAAATTCCAAGAAAAAACGTGTTAAATTGAGTAAAAAGTCTAAATAAAATTGTCAATAAACTCATTCAGTTATGAGAAAAAGTCGTTAGATTTCTAGAAAAAACTCATTAAAGTTTGAGGGAAAAAGTCGAAATAATATGTTGAGAATAAACTAGTTAAATAACGAGAAAAGTCGTTAAATTCCAAGAAAAAACGTGTTAAATTGAGTAAAAAGTCTAAATAAAATTTTGTGAATAAACTCATTAAATTATGAGAAAAAGTCGTTACATTTCTAGAAAAAACTCATTAAAGTTTGAGGGAAAAAGTCGAAATAATATGTTGAGAATAAACTAGTTAAATTACGAGAAAAGTCATTAAATTACAAGAAAAAACGTGTTAAATTGAGTAAAAAGTAAATAAAATTTTGTGAATAAACTCATTAAATTATGAGAAAAAGTCGTTAAATTTCTAGAAAAAACTCATTAAAGTTTGAGGGAAAAAGTCAAAATAAAATGTTGAGAATAAACTCGCTAAATTACGAGAAAAAAAGTTGTTAAATTTTGAGAAAAAAATTGAATTAAAATGCGGAGAATAAACACTCGTGTCGGGTTAATTTCATCTCGTTGGAGAGTGTCAAACAGCGTCTGCAGTGTGGCGTAGGTTGGAGAGTAATGCACATGGATGTAGCATATGATGCGATCGAGTTCGAGTCTTTTGCCGAACTCTCTTTACCTTCTTTTGTTCCCATCACATCACATCACATCACATCACATCGGAAAAGTAGAAATCAACTGCCTAACGAGTGTTTAATAATAATGTATTAATTGGGTAGGTTTAGTATTAATACAGTAAATTCATTGTAAATTTTAATTTGTGGATTTAATTTTCTAACTGATTGTTGTCGCACAGCTTTTCTCCTGTTTTCCATGTCAGTGTTGCTGAGAATGGCAGTGCTGTTTCATCTGCCTTTAAACTAGTTTAAATCACCGCAGAATATATACTGTGTAAAAAAAAAACGAAGAAAAAAAAAGTACTTCCCCCAAACTTTTGAACGGTAGTGTATATTGTTATAAAACATTTATATTTTAAATAAATGCTGTTCTTTTGAACTTTTTATTCATTTAGTATAATTTGATGCACTAAAATAACTAAAACTGAAATAAAACTTTAAAATAATTTAGAAATATAAAAAAATAACAAAAAATACTAAAAATGTCAAACTACAACAAAATACTAAAAATTTAATATTAAAATGAAAATACAAAAAAAACTAAATCAAAATATTATTAAAAACTATAATAGTATCTGAATGATACTAAACTCTAAAAAAAAATGCTGGGTTAAAAACAACCCAATTTGGGTTATTTGGCAACCCAGCGCTGAGTAAATATTGGACAGAACACATGCTGGGTTATTTTGAAAAAAATATTATTAAATGCTGAGATTAACAGTAGCTAAGATTAATGAATGCTGTAGAAGTTTTGTTCATTAATAGTTAAAATTAATTAATGCGGTTAACTAATGTTAACAAATGACAGCTTAATTGGTTAGCTAGTGCTACAAAAGTTAGTAAAATTAGGTAACATTAGTTTAGGGACCAATTCTCACTATTAACTAGTTGCTTATTAGCATACATATTACTAGAATATTAGCCATTTATTAGTACTAATTAAGCACATATGAATGCCTTATTCTACATGACCTTATTCTACATCCCTAATCCTACCCAATACCTAAATCAAAATGTTCATGTAAACCTGGTCACTGTTGTGGAAAAGTTCTCATGGGGGCAAATTAATGCTAAAAATTACAGGCTTGGGACAGAAAACAAGATTAATGTGAACTGGTCACACTGAATGTAAACATCAGTCTGGTTAAATGGGGAAATGGTTACATGGCTACTGAATCTTTTTAATTCAGACCAGCAGAGGGCAGGACTCAGACACAAAGAACAATAAAACACATAGTACAAACACAAGGGCTACAGCAGCCAGATTTGTTGAAAATAGGTTGTAAGAATCAGTCAATTCCCTGTATTTACAGGCAGACCTTTACCTCTTCAATATGATGGACATGCAGTGTATTGCATTATATATAAATAACAGTTGCTAAATGCATTCACATCTACATTTACATTTATTGGTTGCTTATTAGCATGCATATTATTAGAAGATTGGCTGATTATTAGTACATATAAAACACATATGAATGCCTTATTCTGCATGCCCATACTGTAGACCCCCTAAACTTAACAATTACCTTACTAATTAGTATTTACTTACTAATTACTAATTAAAACCTATTAATAAGCGGTAAATTAGGAGTTTGAGGCAAAATTCGTAGTTAATAGTGAGAATTGGACCCCAGACTAATGTGTGACCTGAAATTAGAGACTTCTGTTTCATTTTGCCGTAATTTCATGTTTCAAAATAGAACCAAGTTAAATGCAGTGCATTATTTATCCATTGCAAGTGTTTTCTTCCTTGCATGTCACTTGTAAGCTGGCAAAGATTGTGTTTAGCACTGTAACCGTTTATAGCGAAACAGATTTTCTGCTGTTTGCCTGAGCAGCCACTAAAGCGCCGCTCCATTGATAGTCATGTCAGCCAATTGGCCGTCATCTGTGTGGAAAATTGAAGCAAGGCGACATCCGATTTGTTTCAGACCTGTACTGTTGGACTGAATCAGAAGTGATCAAATAGGATACATGGGTTTAATCAATTGATGTACTTTCTGCCATAAGGTTTTTTTTTTTGTCATTTAGCAGAAATTTTCATCCAATCCTAATTTACAGAACACTTACTACAAGTACAGTCCAGTTTTCGTTAGGCCACAATAGTGATGTAGTCCATAAAACCGTTAGGTTACCAGTACAGACCTGTAACTACCCCAGTTGGCTGCTATGGTTATTTTCCATGTCTTCTTTCTGATGATTAAGAGCTTAGCTAGACTTTTGTATTTTCAGCTGCCTGGTCTTGTATTTGCCTGGTCACTTTGGTAATAAAGCTTTTGCAATGAATGATCATGTAGAATTTATGTAATGTTATACAACGAGCAAAATATTTTTCTTCTGAGTTACTTTATCCATTGAGTCCAGAGGATGAAGAATATGAATTTGAGGATGAACTTGCAAGAAAATAACACGTTCAGTTTTACAGTTGAAGTTCAAGTTTTTACTTACAAGTTTCAACTTTTTATTTTTCTGGGGTCACATGATTTTTCATATCAATCTTTTTTGTTTTCTCCACAGGATTTTGAGTAACAATAAAATCCAGGAACTTCTGAATGGCTCTTTCATTGGGTTGTCATCACTGGAACGACTGTAAGTTTAATTTGTGCTACTTTTCTCTTTGTTTATTTGTTATATTCTCCATTTTAGAACATTTAATCTTATACACCGTTAATAAATTGTGATTAGGAACATTTCTGAGTGGTTACATCAATTTTGTCTCCTTAAGGACCTCTTTTTCCCTTGTGAAAAGATGTACACTTTATCATACTTTTAAAAAGAGGACTTATTTTGGACGTAATCTACTTTTATGCCTGCCTTTCATGCTTTTTTATATTATACTTTTTCAACTTTAGTGTGTAATGTTGCAGTTTGAGCATAAAAAGTTCTGCAAGGTAACAAAGCTCAATGTCCACTCTAAAAGGAGATATTTGCTTTAACAGAACTACAGCAAACGGCTCATTCGGACTACTGCACATTTTTTCCAGATATTGTGAAATCACAATTTCACACACAGAATGCACAAAAAAAGGGGACGAGGTCTGGTTAAAAAAAACAAAAACATTCCACTCTAAGACGTGCTGTAAAATCCATGCTTGCAAAGCCTCTGTACGATCCTCTTGTTCGTAAATGTTCTCAGGGGCTGAATAGGGCTCGAATTGGTATGGCAAAATTGACGCCATCATTAATATTTACAGCTGAGCAGATGAAACTCGTGGTTATGGTAAGGGCCGTGTGATTTCTGGAACACGCTAAGCTAACTTACCAATCAGAGCATGTTTCGTATTTCAGAAGGAGGGGCTTCATTGAAACAGGAGCTAAACGGTGTGTTTAAGACAGACTGGGAAGAGATGTGCTGCAGTAATGTAAACTATGTGAAAAATAATGCATTTTTAGAACAATCAAGCATGAAAACCTATTCTAGTTCACCCAAAAACCTAATCAAGACTTCATAAATGGGCATAATAGGACCCCTTCAAAGAATATGCTTAAGTCTGAAATGAATGTAATGATTTCAAACACTTAAGTGCACATTAATTGCGATTAAATTAAAATGTTTTGTAGTTTAAATTTATATGAAATGCAATGAGTGTTTTTGACACTCTTGAATAGGACTTAAGTACATCTTTATATGTAATTTTATAATCATGTTAATTACATTTGTTAAACTAAAATACACTTGAATGTAATTTCTATTAACATATATTTGTAATTACACATTTGTGATTAGGTTGCAATTTACTACATTTTATATATATTAACTAGAGGTCGACCGATGTATCGGTTTTGCCGATTAATCGGCACCGATAGTTGATTGCTGGAACTATCGGTTATCAACAAAAATCCATGCCGATAGTTTTCCGGGTTGCGTCCATTGCTGGAGCGGCTGAGAAGGGTCTGCTGTCATTACACAGTGCGAGAACGGCCTCTAGTGGTTGAAATCACTGACAGCACGTGCTATTTGTTTAGACACGTGATACTGCACGCTGAACAGAGCGGGAAACTTCAGACGCGGATTTAAATGCCGCCGATAGAAAATCCTGCTGCGCCACAGAGCGCCATTCACATAGTTTTCCTTTAAAT